CAGCAGTAATACTGTCGGAGAGGTCTGGTGGAGTTGTCTGTGACACACGCGTTTTGGTGAGTGACACACGTCTGTGAGAGAATGTTTGTCACAAATATTGGTATATCAAACCAAGTTATCCTACGTGGATATCAGATAGTCTTCCAGAGCATTGTATATGAAAATCTCATCACCGTTTTGAAAATTGATTCATATGACTCATCGTCAATTCCATCATGTAAAGGAAAGTTAACCGCATAATATTTGCCACACCCAGCGCCAATATCCTTTTGATAAAAAAAGAAAACAATAATTATAAACGAGAAACAGAAAGATAGTAACTCACTCTCAAATCGCCTGTTCTAGGAAAATATCCACCGAATTTATGAAACGATACAGTCATAACACGATCAGTTGTATAAAATGCTTCTTCAACGCCATCACCATGATGAACATCAATATCAACATATAATACGCGTTGATGGTGTCTTAAATGACCAGATGTGATTAGTTTTCTACTGTTTGTTTCAAAATTATTTTTTGTACAACAATCTGATGATATTGTTTTCTTTTGGTAATATGATGAATTTCTAATTGAGAATGATAATGGCTACTTACTTGAGCAATTCTAATATGCCTAATACAATGTCATTGATGTAACAAAACCCTGATGCTTGTGATTTTTTCGCATGATGCAAACCACCAGCCCAATTAATCGCGATATCGGCTTCTTTCCGATTTAATTAACCGCACCAGCTGAATCGTAACAAAACAATTATTTAACGACAACGCCAAGTCAGTAATGCTATCTTCTACAAACCCAATGAACCACCGGCTGATATTTGACAAAATTCAAATAATCCTTCAAATACTGGACAATCTTCTCGAATATTGACTAATAAGAACGAAAAAAACAAAGATAAGATTTTTTCTCAGACAGATTTTATGTCTTACATCTTTGCATTTGTGTATTAAAATCTGCAACATTATCCAGCCGAATATTGCTTAAGAACTTGACGTATTCGTCACTGTGAAAACGATTCATTTCATCAGTGCCAGCTTTATGTGGACGCTATGAAAACAAGAAAAGCAAGTGTAATTCATATGTATCATAAGTAATTGAAAATTTTAAACTCCGATTATTCCAGTCCAGTAATTGAAGTAAAAGAGCTATCATTTTTTGATTCTTTGTCATAATTTAAACTTAATTTAAACTCATTTTCCTTCAACATTGTTTACGATCTCATCATTTGACTTTTCCTGCACTACCATTCCTAATTGATAGTTTTATGCAATTGAATTAAACCTGATAAATACTTACGTAAATTTCCATTTTTCGATATAAACCATAATTAAGAATTAAATTATGTGCCATACGAATACGATGTGGTTTCATGGGATGTCCTTGACCATAATAATAATTCCCAACATCAGAATCATAATAATATGAGACTTTTTTACGTGAATGTGGACCAACAGGCGATGTCTACAATATAAACAAACTTGGTAACAAGAATATATTTCATTATACTAGTAAAAGTCTCAGCAAAAGTAGAATGGGACTAATTTACTAAATTTTGTTTTATTTTTATGACTTATAGAACACTCATACTTAAACGAAGTTTTTAATTTTTATTTCGATAACACCAAACGCAATGAAAGTAATTCTTTTTCTTTTCTATTTTGTTTTCTTATTCACGTTATATAGTGTGTGCTCACGTTGCAATGTAAGGTACATATATATAACATACATTAGGACTGTTGTCTGTGTAGAGTGATGTCACATTTCCTTCTTTTCCTTAGATTGATTGATTGTGGCTGAATTCATCCGTTATTTATTTTATTTTAATCTGAAATTTCGAATCATCAATTCACAGGCTTCGTAAACGTCCTACTTTTCTATAAAACCGTCCTACTATGTCCTCCTTTCTGGATTTTCTCCTACTTTTCCTACTTTTTTAATTTTCTGCGTTTTTAGTAAATTCACAGACAAAAAGACATTTTTCTCCTACTTTTCACTAATGAACCCTTTTAGTTTCGCGTTTAAAAACTGCATATGGCTCAATGTTAGTTACTCATGTCAAAACTTGCTATAAATTCTTTTCTCCTAACCGTCTAAAAGTCATATATAAATCCACTGAGGGTATCTTTCACGAGCTTGTCTAACTTTGTTTTTAAAATCTATTTTTGTTTAACATATTATTTAACTATTTATTCTATTATTTAGTCCTAGACAGTTAAACATATTATTATGTCTCAATATATGCTCTTATACACTGTAAAGTGGAAAATAAGTTATATAAAATAAAAAACGATTTTCAATTTGTCCACATACGAATTCATCGGTGATTTTCTACTTTCTTGAAAATGTGATTTTCAAGAATTTTACGTTTTTCGTAAAATGCAAACTAATTTTCTGTAAAATTGCCGTTGATTTTCCAAAAAACATGAATCGATTATACAGAAAATCAACGACGATTTTTCAACTTGAAAATCACCGCTGAATTCGTATGTGGACAAATTGAAAATCA